TTCATCCCAAAGACACAGTTTTGTCCAAGGGATCTCTTACAGCGTAGGCCCCAACATCAGTGATTGCATCTCTTGAATAGACCCCTGAATATCCGGGTTAGAATACATCTTCAGCAACCCTTGCTTGCCGTAAATGGAGACTATGCTTGTCGTAAGAGGCGACTAATGGGGTCAGGTTCGCTGACTTGGTTGATGCATGTCATCGTATCCCAATTGCGTAGATTGATGCTCATGATGTCAATCACTGGATCTTGAGAGAATTGCTGACAGCCAAACAGGTAGTCAGTTGTCTATTTCGCTATAGACATGTGCACATTACAAGATGGCACACCACACAACAAGGAGGACATATTGTCTAGAAGTGATGTGGAGCTATATGTCTAGAATGAAAGAACTGAGTAAGGCACACATATTTTATTTTTCATTTCACCCCTACTGAAAAGCATCTGGGTAAATGTTTTTGAACAATATTTATTTTTATTATGTCTCCCACTTGTAATATAGACCCACCATAAAAGATGTCCATGTCTACATCACCATCAGGGATTTAAGAAGGAAGAATGATTTTTTTTAAAATAAAAAATAAATGATTGACATAGCTATTTACTTTTATTTATTTTTGACCAACCTTTTGTGGAAAAGCTGCAATAAATCTGTAAAACATAAAATTTAAAAAGTGTGGCATAAATAGTACTTGCAGTTACCTTTTTAGAAACCATTTAATGACCAAAAAAACGCTAGAAAGTTGTCTATTTCACGATACATGTGAATATATCGCAGGAGGTAAGACTAAGAAGCTGTGTTGTTAATGATAATAAATCTACCATGTATGAAGTGAACCACTTAGTTCTGGGTAATTAGTACTGTTTCTCCTTGAGTGGCAGTTATTGGCATGTTGTCTATTTCGCTATAGACATGAGTGCACATTGCAGGAAGTTGCATGCTTCAAGTTCAACACTGAGAACTTCGACCCTCCGTGAAGGGGCTATTTGTTTTGGGTGAAAGAACTGAAACACTTTGTCTGGGGTAATTTACTAAGTACTGACAGTTCCTTCTGAAAAAAACCTTTGACGACAGATGGAAAATTGACTTTTTTGCTATGGACATGATGAATTTGAAATGCATGATACAGCACTGAGAAAATAGAATTGCAGTCAGTGACTAACCACTAATCCAAAGCCAAAGTCTAGTAAAATTTTGTTTGTTTGTTTTGTTTGTTTGTTGTTTAACGCCACACTCAGCAATATTCTAGCTATATGACGGTGGTCTGTAAATAATCGAGTATAGACCAGACAATCCAGTGATTGATAACATGAGCACCGATCTACACAATTGGGATACGATGACAGCTCAGCTAATAATAGTTCATATGATAACGCTAAAATCTACAGTTTTTGGCAGAGACCGGAATCACAATCATATGAATTATGGGAAGGATCTGTGTTCAGACTGAATAAACGGAAATGCCTGGTGCAGAAACTGGTGTCAAGTTGTCTATTTCGCTATTGACATGAATGCATATTTCAGAAAACAAGGCTCATGTTATACTGAGACGGAAAGTACTTGTTAAGACTAAGGGTCTATTAAGTATATTATGGATAACTATTATTAACAATTTTTTCTTTAGAAATGTTTGACAGCCAGACAGGTGGAAAGCAGTGTATTTCAAAAAGTAAACAAATATCACTGACAACCATGAAAAAAATACAACACAAAATTAGCGAACATCCAAACATCGCTCAGCTGACATTCAAACATATTTCTTCAACATATTTGAAGCATTCTAAATGATAAATTAAAACATCCCATCTCGTTCACTTCAAAAACTTGCGTGATAGCAATAACGTACCGAAAGAGGTTTAATCTGATACAAACGTTTCCTGTGCCTGTCAACTGTCAGATAAAGCCGCTATGGTTATGTGTGTAAATCTACATCCCACCCTATCAAGCTTTGAAATCTACATCCTATCACACTGTTTCCTGCTGTATAGATAATACGTTTCAATTATTCCTACATCCTGCAAATGCACTTTGCTTGATGCGATGGACCCACAGTGCCTCTCATCACGACAGAGATCAATTATTGTCATCATATACAAATCTACTGGACACTTATCTTATCAATTGACATGAAACCTAGTAACGGCTATATCAAACAAAACTGTTGAACTTTAAAAGCTCTGAGATTTATTAAATGTCATAAAAATAACACAACCGTTGAACTCACACGATTTCAGAATTTACATCTTTGGTCATAAGAAATTGAGATTAAGCAAAACGTCCAGTTACAATTATAAATTTAACTCTTATACTTAAACTACTGCTAATAATTTTTATGTGAATAGTTAAATTAAGCGGATAAAGTTGAAATGTCACATCACAGTTCCAATACAGCGTTAGAAATTGGCACTAGTCCTCTGGTCCTTGCCAAACTGCCCAATAGTTAAGGACAAATAGAAATTTGCCATTTTTAAGGGTTTTACTACACGTTATCATCATAAGGACAAGTAGAATAAAAGTGTTCTACCGCTGCAATGGTGCATCCAAATTCTTTAACGATAGAGTTGAAGGCCTTAGAATATTATTGAGTAAAGTTTTGACGACAGATGAGAATTTCGCTCCTTTCAAGTTCTGTACCTTTTCCAAGCACACATCCCAGAAATAAAAACCCTTTGGAAGGTACAATGAAGAGAAAGAGAAGTCCTAATCATTGTTTCTAATATTTACAAACACAAAACTTAGCTCCTAATATAAGGAGATGAAAGCTTATCCATTTCGCAAAACACTCATCTTTGGTCACAGATGAACTTCGGTACTGTTTTCTCCAGAAATTGAAAAATCATTCGTAGATGTTATCATAACAGTGTACATAATGCTGTTTTAACCCTATAACTCCTCATGTAATATAATCATCCATCCATCCATCCATCCCTCCCTCCATCCCATCCCATCCCATCCCATCCCATCCCATCCATCCATCCATCCATCCATCCATCCATCCATCCATACATAATAATTTCATCACTACATAAAATAAAACGTTTCCAACCTTGCAGAGCTATTAATATTAAACCTTCATACTGATGTGTGTTTGTCTTGTAGATACAAATACGAAATGTAGGGTTCAAAGGTCACACCAATGTTCATTGACAGTCCACTTCCTGTTCAGACAAGTGCTTGACAAGATCATCTTGAAGCACTTTTAACACATTCCCATGTTAGGCCTTTCAAATTTTATTAATTCGTTTCCAAACATGTTGACCTAAAATTCAAATTAGGTGGATCAAAACAAATAAATATACTTTTACACTTCCAGATTAGTGCTGCTAATGAATGAAAACAACCTCATAGGTAACACACACCATCATGGAGTGAGTGAGTGAGTTTGATTTTCTGCCGCTTTTTTAGCAATATTCCAGCAATATCACGGCGGGAGACACCAGAAATGGGCTTCACACATTGTACCCATGTCGGGAATCGAACCCGGGTTTTCGGCATGACGAGCGAACGTTTTAACCACCAGGCTACCCGACCGTCCCACGCCATCATGGTACTGTGATTGCAAAACAATACTGAAAGATAACGGTTGTTTCTTCTTTGTTGGAATAAAGATTTTTATACTTATTATTCACCATTCCTTACAAACACCAGTGATAAGATGTAATTCTTCTTTTTTTTTATTTCACCTAATTGTAAAACAGTTGGACACACAAAAGATTAAATTCTTTGAGAGGCATTTAGAAGTTGAAGTACTAAGTAAGGATAAGATCTACTGATGAAGAACGACTTTATTACAATTGTAATAAGGAAGTTGTTCATCCATATATTTTATCCTTATTGCACAAAAGACTGTCAAAAGTCTTCTTTTTTTTCCTTCTTATTCCAAATATCTTTTTGTCAGTTGGTCTCACAAACCAACTAAAAGATATACGCCCTGAATATCAGTGAGTGAGTATGGTTTTACGGAGCTTTTAGCAATATTCCAGCAATATCACAGCAGGGGACACTAGAAATGGGCTTCACACATTGTACCATTGTGGCAATCGAACCCAGATCTTCGGCATGACGAGCAAACACTCTATACATTAGGCTACCCCACCGCCCCCCTAGAATATCAAAGTCCATGAGGTACTTCAAAAAGTGAGGTCAGAATTGTACACATCATCTGCATCAGGTTAAAGCGAGAGGAAAGACCAAACTCCCACAGGTTGCAAATCTTTACCCTTTCTGTGAGTTTGGTTTAACACTGCTTTGAGCGGTACTACAGTTAGCCTATGGTATATGAGCTTGAGGTGGGAGAAAAGTCCAGTGAAATCCAGATAACACAGACATGGTTATGACAAATCAGGGATCACAATCAGTGCAAATACATAGGATCATAGGATACTGACACTTCTAAAGGAAGGCAACTCTGCATAGTCAATTACTGAAACCTCTAAATCCCAGAGGTCATTGTAAAGCCAGGGTAACTGACTGACCACACAAAAAAAGTCTAACAACATTCCATGAATTTATACTTTACCTTCACATAGCATAGGTTGACTATGACTAAATCTCCAGGGTCAGTTAATTATATGATTAACTTGTAACAATTTATGTAATTCATACGATTACAACACAATATCAAACTCACATTGCTTTCCTAAATCTATAGGGAGCAATAACCACAGGGGAAGTCAGTGCGGATATTATAATTGTGAATAAAACGTGAAATAAAATTAATTAGTGATGATACTGTGCAAAGTTATAAACAAAACGCATGAATAAAACAAAGATTCAAAATCATAAACTGAAAAATGGTTTCATGACAAAAAAAAGACAAAATTCACTGAAAAAAAATAAATTAAATGTCCAACCCAAAATTTTAGGATAAGCCATCCAACAGTGTGCACGGGTTAAACCTCAACCTATGGGTTAGCATCAACTGGATTCATAAACAAAGTAAATTGTTCCAAATCAAAATTGAACAAGTAACATCACCAACACAACAGAATACCTACTAGAGAACTTTGTGAAGTATGTCCATTCTGCCAAATGCAATGGAAGACATCAAAATCAGAGAAAAATACTTGAACTAAATTTAAACACAACACTGGAATCTGAAATTCTAAATCAAATAACAAATTTTATGTCTCTCTTACTATCAAACACCCCTCTCTCCATACTGCCCTCTCTCCATACTTGATCCGACCCATGAACATCCGGGTTAGGATAGGTCTTCAGCAACCCATCCGCATTGTAAAAGGCGACTATGCTTGTCGAAAGAGGCAACTAACGGGATTGGGCTCACTGACTTGATTGATGCATGTCATCGTATCCCAATTTCGAGAAAAGATGCTCATGATCTCAATCACTGGATTGTCTGGTGCAGCTTCGATTTTGTAAAAATCGCCATAATATAGCTGGAATATTGCCTAGTGTGGCGTTAAACAACAAACAAATAAACCAAACTTGATCCATACAAATCACTATATATAATTCCTGACTTGACTTGGCAGACAACACTGGAAATGCGAGCCAGCTGCATACTTTTTGTTCCTTGATCTTATATGAGGGGTCTTCATAGTCAAAAAGACATAAAATTTCATTATTTAATCAGAGTTTCAAATTTCTGTGACTACATAAGGAAATTAGTTCAAAGTAAAAATGTTTAGCTCTGAATCTTTCAAAGCATTTTAAGAAAACAGGAAATAATGAAATCATGAAATACAACAAATATAATGTAAGTGGGATCTCTTCTTCAGAAATCAGGGGTTGACAGACCTGCTGGTCCTCCGGTCCATGGACAGTAGAAATAGCAGTGGACCAGACATATTTTCTCACTGGCCCATGGCTAGTTGATGTCCTATACTATCATATCCCTCAAAAGAGGTCAAATAACAACTGATTCTTTCATATTAGTTTTGTTAACTACCATGACAGATTAATTATAGTTATATGAAAGAATCACGTGTTCTTTAACTCATCTGGAGTAGTATGATTATATACCAACACTAGCCAGATGGCCAGTTCATTCAATAGGGATTTAATAGGGATGAAATGATACAGTTAGGTCCCGATACGATGCGTATCATGATACATAGGTCCTGATACGATATGTTTCACGATACACATTTTTACATCAAATCACGTCGAAACTTCTTGACAATAAATATTTCAGAGCAAGTTCTGAAGGAAAAGCTAGCTGTACACAGATATTCGTAGCGGCTATTTGTAGTTGTGAACTTTGAATATACTTTGCGAAAAAATTGCTGGTGGGGATGGTGTCGTTAAATAAGTAATAAGTAATATATTTTAGCAAGTGTATCGCTTGTGCCGACACAGAAATAACGTATCGTGTATCTTATCGTCGCTTGAAAAATTATGATGCACTGGTATATCGTCTCACCCGTATCTTTTAATCTTAACCTGAGAAATCATTCTACATTTTTTGCATTGAGTTTATGCCATGTGATTTATTTAGATATTGTTTAAATGTTGCAGTTGTGCAGAGGAGTGAGTGAGTGAGTGAGTGAGTATGGTTTTATGTCGCTTTTAGCAATATTCCAGCAATATCATGGTGGGGGACACCAGAAATGGGCTTCACACATTGTACCCATGTCGGGAATCGAACCCGGGTCTTCGGTGTGACAAGCAAACACTTTAACCACTAGGCTACCCGACCGCCCGCTGTGCAGAGGACAATATGACACATTGGTCCTCCTCTTGTTATTGTAACAATAAAGTAGACTAAAGATCAACTCACATTTCTACAGTGTTAAAGCAATAGGTTATTGCCTGTGCCTTCAATACAGCACAAAGTTCAAATAGAAGTGTGTGACTAAGCTGAAGGCTAGTACTCAATAGTATCCTAGCAATGTGATAGCATGTCATGTTAAGAGTGGAAAACAAAACACAATCTTGGTTGGTTGGTTTGTTGTTTAACGCCGCACTCAGCAATATTCCAGCTATATGACGGCAGTCTGAAAATGATCGAGTCTGGACCAGACAATCCAGTGATTAGTATTATGAGCATCGATCCACGTAATTGGAATCGATGATATGCATCAACCAAGTCAGCGAGCCTGACCACCCGATCCCGTTAGTGGCCTTTTACGACAAGCAAAGTCGCCTTTTACAGCAAGCATGGGTTGCTGAAGACCTATTCTACCCCGGGACAATCGGTATTGTAAATATTTTCAATGTGGGAAACCACCAACACTGCAATGGTGCTGACGGACCAATCAAATTCAAAAACGTTTAATCAACAGGAACAGAAATTTACATATGTAAAACAGCTTGTTCAGAATTGCGCTCTAAACACAGGTGGATTTAATCATAGACGGAGCAATATGCATTTGAATCAGGATGTTTTCTGCAGTGCACTTTGAGATTGAAGTAATTTCTTACTCAAATGAAATAGCATACCACAGATCCTGTTTTGAATCAAAATATACAAACCAGTCAGACGAAATTAATAACATGTGTGAGGTAATCTGTATTTGTTTAAGTTCGAAAAATTGCACTTGGTAGCACATTTCGTACTGAATGAAATTCCTGTCTAGCACAACCTGACACAATTTGATATCATTCCGCCATGAAGACACAATGCAGCATATTGTAATTTTTTCCATGAAATTAATTACTTAGATCAAAATATCTGACTTGGCATTTATGCATTTTGATATATTCTTGTTTGGAAGTAACACTACAACAGTCATAAGCCCATGTTAAAGTATAGGAGTTACAATCACCTTAGCGCTAAGATCGCTTTGTGGGATGGGGTCCGGATCAACATCACAAAAATAAATTGCATTTTTTTTATCTATCATTAGCATTATTATTGTGGGAATTTCTGGTCAACATGACCTGAGTCATGAATGTCATAGCGACCTAGCTTAGTCATGAAATGTCACAACGAATCAGCTCTATGATGTATTCTTGTAAGACTTCTAAAAATATTTATATACTCTAGAACCAGGTGAAGGTAAATAGGGGGTTGACATCGCATCCAAGATTAATGTGTGTGTGTGTGTGTGTGTGTGTGTGTGTGTGTGTGTGTGTGTGTGTGTGTGTGTGTGTGTGTGTGACATTGCATCCAAGATTAATGTGTGTGTGTGTGAGAGAGAGAGCGTCTCTCTCTCTCTCTCTCTCTCTCTCTCTCTCTCTTTCTCTCTCTCTCTCTCTCTCTCTACAGCAAATGTCAGCATGACCTAACAACAGGTAATGTCAATGAAGTGAATAAATGTTGTTTTATGCCACAATCAGCAATCTGGCATTGTCAAGGCAGCCCGTAAATAATCCTATCTAGGCCATGCCAGCAAACATGGGCCTGGTAATAAGACACACAATCCTCAGTCGTGTCTCACACCAAGCATGCAGTACAGGGGACCGGGGTCTTCATCCACACAAGGGGGACAACTCTTGAAACAATGTCCTTGCTGGATAGACTACAGGGGTTACTTAATGACTACTGATACATGTTCTAATAGGACCGCTGACTTACCTGGCTGAGCCCAATCCTGTAGCTAAGCTTGTCAATATCCAGATTGTCCATCACCTGTAGCACTGCCTGAAATACACAACACACAAATCAGCCAATAATCAAAGTCCTACCCTTAACACTGACTTATGAGTGTCGAAGCGATAAGAGTGAGTGAGTATGGATTTACAACGCTTTTAGCAATATTCCAGCAATAGCACAGTGTGGGACACCAGAAATGGGCTTCACACATTGTACTCATTTGGGGAATCAAACCCGGGTCTTTGGCGTGACGAGCGAACACTTTTACCACTAGGCTACCCGACCGCCCTATGACAGTCGAAGCGATAAGAGTGAGTGAGTATGGTTTTACAACGCTTTTAGCAATATTCCAGCAATAGCACAGTGTGGGACACCAGAAATGGGCTTAGCACATTGTACCCATTTGGGGAATCAATCCCGGATCTTTGGCGTGACGAGCGAACGCTTTTACCACTAGGCTACCCGACCGCCCTATGACAGTCGAAGCGATAAGAGTGAGTGAGTATGGTTTTACAACGCTTTTAGCAATATTCCAGCAATAGCACAGTGTGGGACACCAGAAATGGGCTTCACACATTGTACCCATTTGGGGAATCAAACCCGGGCCTTCAGCTCGACGAGCAATGCTTTAGCCACGAGGCTACCCCACCATCCCTAGAGCTAAGATCGCTTTGTGGATCTCCTGGTGCAGTTCCATGGCTTCCTTCTACACAACCTTGTAATGTCTATGTTGCAATGCAGGATGTACCAACAGTAATTTTGTATTACAGATGGAGTTAGATGTAGTTCAATTTGTTGCCATGGTTTCTCCTGGCTGAGCATCAGTCCTCAGACAGCCTGGGACTCCTCGCCGCATATGTTTTGGTTCGCGTGATGCTTAATGCCACACTCAGCAATATTCAAGCTATATGATTTGTTTGTTTGTTTGTTGTTTAAAGCCGCACTCAGCAATATTCCAGCTATATGACAGCGGTCTGCAAATAATCGTGTCTGGACCAATAATCCAGTGATTGACATCATGAGCATCGATCCATGCAATTGGGATACAACATGCATCAACTAAGTCAGCAATTCTGACCACCCAATCCCATTAGTCAGCTCTTACGACAAGCAAAGTCGCTTTTTAAGGAAAGCATGGGTTGCTGAAGACCTATTTTACTCCAGATCTTCACGGGTCTCAAGCTATATGACAGCAGCCTGTATATATTTGAGTCTGGACCAGACATTCCAGTGACTGATATTCCAAGCAACAATCAATAATGTTGGGGAACGATGACACACAATCAACCAGACACAGAGTCTGACCACTCAATCCAGTTAGTCATCTCTTAGGTTGGTTGGTTGGTTTGTTGTTTAACGCCACACTCAGCAATATTCCAGCTATATGACGGTGGTCTGTAAATAATTGAGTCTGGACCAGACAATCCAGTGATTAATATCATGAGCATCGATCCACGCAATTGGGATCGATGACATGCATCAACCAAGTCAGCGAGCCTGACCACCCGATCCCGTTAGTCGCCTTTTACGACAAGCATAATCACCTTTTACAGCTTTTATGGGTTGCTGAAGACCTATTCTACCCCGGAATCTTCATGGGTTTCATCTCTAAGGACCAGCATAGATTGCCGGGGATCAATTTGTTACCTGCTTGTGCCAAACTTGCATCCCTACAGTTCTAACAAGACATCAATTTCAACAGTGTCATCAAGCATACTTCTGATTATCTGTACTCTCTAGTCATGAGTTATCCACACTGCATTCTCAGTAACGCTTTCAATAGCCCGGGTTACCTGCTTCAGGCCTTCAATACTGACTGTTGATTAACTTCAGTTACCTTTTTCTCATCCATATCCTTATCTGGGCGAGCATTGGGAGCAACCAGCACTTCAAACTTCTGCCTGAACTCGGAAAACTGCATATAATCTGGGAATCCTGTAAAAATAGATAATAGACTTCTATAACAGTTTACAACATCAATGCATGCTGTAGTCATGTCTAATCTCCCTTATGACTACTGTCCGATTTCTGTCATAGGAGTTATGTCCCCTTTGACTACTGTCTGATTTGTCATAGGAGTTATGTCCCCTTTGACTGTCTAATTTGTCATAGGAGTTATGTCCCCTTTGACTTCTGTCTGATTTGTCACAAGAGTTATCTCCCCCTTGACTACTGTCCGTCTTCTGTCATGAGAGTTATGTCCCCTTTGACTACTGTCTGATTTGTCACATGAGTTATCTCCCCTTTGACTACTGTCAAACTTCTCTCATGTAAGTTATGTCCCCTTTGACTGCTGTCTGCAAGCTCCTCACAGTGATAGCCTGTTCATGAGCTCTCTATACTATCGCAGCCACCAGTCTAAACTCCCCACTGTGATAGGTGACCACAACCATGCTTCGAGTTGAACTCGCAACCGACGGACTGTTATGTTCATAAACAAGCAATGACTGCCGTGACGCCGAATACACTTACGCTGATATATTATTTTCTGTGTTTGTCCCATTTGAATTTCTATTTCATTTCCACTATCATGTAATTGGTATAGTAAGAATGTAAGGGGGAATTTGGGTGATTTTCCATTCGTCTGCAATCTCGAACCAATTTGATCAAACAAACAAGAAGGTAAATTCATCTGGGAAATATGGTCAGCTGTAAACTTTTAAAAAAAATCACAATGATGGCATTACCAAAGACATAAAATTTAAAAATTCTTGTAATGGCCGCGATGTTACCGAGAGTGTGACGAATGTGTCAAGCGCTGGAAAGGAGCTTGTACTGTCTAATTCTGTCATATGAGTTACCTCCCCTTTGACTACTGTTCGACTTCAGTTCACAACTTGATGAAATGAAAATGAGAATGAAAATCTAATTTTTTGCATCACTCAAATCGCTGATAACATACTAGAAAACAAATGAAAAGACAACTTTCTATTCAGCAGAGAGGATAAATATTTCTTTTTAAAGATGATGATTTTCTTACCTTGTCTGAAAAGTCTGACAGCATCAATGATCTCAAAGCCACGAATCTGTGCTCGGACAAGTGGGACATTCAGTAGGATCTCATCATGGGAGTTTGGCTTGGTGGCGTTTGACAACGAGGACTTGAGCTCACACAAGCCGGCCGAGTGTTGCGGCACAATACAGTGCAGAAAGTGACACTTCGTCTTCCTGATGGTCTCCATCACAGAATCCTAGAAGAAAACAGTGGTCGTGATTAATGTTTAACGCCACAGTCAGCAATATTAAAGGCCATATGCAGCAACTTGTAAATTATCGAGTCTGGACCAGACAATCCACCGATCAATATTTATGAGCAATGCTCATCACCATTGGGACATGATGATAAACATATCAACCAAGTCACAGAGCCTGACCACCCAATCCGTTTAGGACCAGCAATAATAATAATAGTCCATTTGTATGGCGCATATATCCATGCATAGTGCATGCTCAAAGCGCATAACAATAAGAAGTCATTTGGAGACAGAAGGTCGAAAGATATAGGATTTGAGTTGTAAGTGAGTGAGTGAGTTGGATTTAACGCCGCTTTTAACATTATTCCAGTTATATCACGGCGTGTCAGCTTAATGTGGGAGGAAAGCCCGAAGTGATACAGGTCTAAGACGTTTACCACTTCAGTGAAACCCACGAGCACGGGTATGGTGCTGACAAACCTAGAAACATAATCGGGGCGAACCGGGATTTGAACCCACAATCATAGGTTTCTGGCGTGCCCAAGGGACGTTACTCTGCACAGCGAATCGCGGCGTCTTAGACGACTGGGCCACCCGTGCCCCCGGAAGATTTTGTACTAATAACTGGTTGAAAATAGGTGGTTCATTAAAAAATACCATGTCTAGCGTATATTTCCTGGCCAGATATATTTTATGGACATTTCTTCAGACTGTCGTAACACAATTTATATATAATATAAAACAAATATTAATAAACGTTGTTTCAACTGTATGTAAGTCAGAGAAATCCCTTCTCCCAGGTTTTGGTTGAAACTGTAAACCCTCGGGTCAGAATAGTCCTCATGCTATTCCCTCCTTTACTGGTTATACATTTCAACCAAAACGTCAGAGGTGTGTTTTCTCCTACACTTATAAACCTATTCATTGGGATCCCTATTAAGTAAGAGACTTCTTTCTATAGGCATTAAAACCTATTGCGAGGTTTTACTTTCCAGTCGGGTTAAATCTCATAAACAGGGACGTTGTAATATCCCTGGGATATTATATAATATCCAAGTGTTTTTATATAATGTCCTGGGTATTTTATTAATATAACTTCCATTCAGATTGTAACATGTAATGAAATATAAAATCAAATGAAAAATGTTTTCTTTATATTCCCGAGGAACGAACTCGCAACCTTCATATCTGGAGGTGTTGATAAGCCGCACTGGTTTTTAGAGTGTCCTTTTCAAGATCCGTACACCAGCAACAGATATTTTACGCGCGTTTCCTAAGGTTCATGGAAAGTATGTTCGAAACATAAAAATGTTGATAAATGTTGTTTTAAGTTTCTTTTTTCGGTTTATAAGCATGGAAAAACACTTTCCCTCGGTTTTGGTAGACAGAGCATGCCCTAGGGTCGTTTTTTCCCTCTCCCCAGGGCATGCTCTGTCTACAAAACCTCGTGAGCGTGTTTTCTCCAATACATAAATCGCTGTAATGATGGTGTAATTTAAAGAATTTAAGCAGTTAGTTTAAAAAAAACCATAATGATGATGGAAGCAAGGACTCACCACTTGGAACTTCATCTGTAGACAGATGGACTTCTTCTTGAGCCCAGCAGTGCCGGACATGAAGGTCCTCCTCATGCTGCCAACCCGCCTCAGTGACGTGGTTCCCTCCATCCCGACAATAGACCCACTGACCACACCGGCCACGGGCGCCTTCACGCTGGTGAACAGCGTACTCATGTTGTGTCTGAAACAGTCGTCAGTTTGAAACATGGATGTGTGCACGTGTTTGTTTTATGCACACTCAGCAATATTCAAGTTATGATGGTTCCTGTAAATAATTGAACCTGGACAGGTTAATCCAGTGATTGATATTATGAGCAACGATCCACGTATTTGGAGTATGATGACACGCCATCATCCAAGGTAACGAGCCTGGCATTTAATCTCCTCTTACGACCAGGGCCCCGTTCTACAAAGCGATCTTAGCGCTAAGACCATCATCATCCCTATACATTAGCATGGACTTATGACAGTCGAGAACAAAGCTAAGATCGCTTTGTGGAACGGGGCCAAGCAGAGGTTGCTCCTTAGCAATCCCCAGTTTGAAACAAATCTAAACAAACATTTTTGAAGTGGTCCTGAAGCAAATATTTCTGGGGTTCTAATGAATATTAAACAAGATGCTACCATAATGAGTGAGTGAGTGAGTATGGTTTTACGCCACTTTTAGCAATACTCCAGCAATATCACGGCGGGGACACAAGAAATGGGCATTACCCATTGTACCCATGTCGGGAATCGAACCCAGGTCTTCGGTGTGACGAGTGAACGCCTAAACCACTAGGCTACCTGACCGCCCCTATATAGAAAGCTATCAGCTAATTGTTTGAAGACAAAATACCAATTAAGGTTAGGTACCAAAGGCCATGTCATGTATTATGTACTGGACATCATAACCAAGGTGAATCCGAACCGAAGGCCAGCGATAGAAACTGACAGTTTTAGTCCACTAGTCCTTATAATAACATATAGCAAAACCCTTAGAAATGGCAAATTTCTATCAGTCCTTATGATACCTTAACTATTGGCCAGTTTGGCAAGGTTTGTTTGCTGCTTGATGCCGCACTCAGCAATATTCCAGCTATATGACAGCGGGCTGTAAATAATCAAATCTGGACCAGATTATCCAGTGACTGATATCATGAGCATCGATCCATGCAATGGGGATTGATGACATGCATCAACGAAGTCAGTGAGCCTGACCACCCGATCCCATTAGTTGCCTTTTATGCCAAGCATAGTCGCCTTTTACTACAAGCATGGGTTGCTGAAGATCTATTCTACCCCGGAATCTTCACGGGTCAGTTTGGCAAGGACTACAGGACCAATTTCTAATGCTGCTAAGGCAATCAGTTATGGAACAAAACAACTTAAAAACATATAATGGACCAATTGTAATGGAATGTACAGTTATAAAAACATTATTACAATTAAATGCTATGTAACAAAGATTAACCATTTTAAACTAAATCTTACAACGCTTTCTAACTACAAAATTTGAATTAATGACAGACCATTAAAACATAAAATCCTGTAAAGTTTGAAATATACCAAACATAACTCAATAAGATGGATGGTTGGATGGTTTGTTGTTTAACGCCACACTCAGCAATACTCAAGCTATATGACGGCGGTCTGTAAATAATCGAGTCAGGACCAGACAATCTAGTGATTGATATCATGAGCATCGATCCACGCACTTGGGATCGATGACATGCATCATGGGGACCACCCGATCCCGTTAGTCGCCTTTTACGACAAGCACAGACGCCTTTTACGGCAAGCATGGGTTGCTGAAGACCTATTCTACCCCGGATCTTCACGGTATAAATCAATAAGAACATTGTGTTGCTTTTGCAGCCTTACTTCTTGGAGTCCTGCAGCACAACAGTGGCGTTCCTGGAGATGGGGCTGTCCCTGCAGGACTTGAGCCAGCCGCTGGCGTTGTACTGTACGGGGTTGGTGCCCTGGAAGTGGTTCAGGATGAATGTGTGCCCAAGGGAACCCTTCCTCAACAGACTGTCACCTGAAACCAGGAACATTTGCATCGAGTGAATGTGTGCCCTAGGGAACCCATCCTTAACCTATATCGCATTTAGTTTCGTAACCCATTGGTTTCCCACTGAACCACCAGAAGCAGGTGATGAAAGGGTGTTCAATCTAACATGTCATTACTTCAGTTGTGCACATGCTGCACATTGTCTTTCTCTGGCATGCTTTCATCGAATTCCTTTCATACCAGTATGCACTGTATTGTTTCACTACAATGTATCCCAATGTCTTCTTATTCTTTCTGGTATTTCTTGCAGTTAGACTGCTAATAAGTTGGATAAAAAACCTCCTCCTCGTTCTTGACTGAAAATATAAACCCATAGCAGAGGGAAAATGGTGGAGGGCTAAAGGCCCGACCCAATGCCCTGATGCCCTGGACTAACATTCTCAGTCAAGACCAGGAGGAGGTTTTTATGCTTTACCAGCGGTAGAAACTAACAGTTTTAGTCCACTAGTCCTTATAATGATAACATATAGCAAAACCATTCAAAAGGGCAAATTTCTACTAGTCCTTATGATACCTTAACTATTGGCCAGTTTGGCAAGGACTACAGGACTAGTGCCAATTTCTAACGCTGTTTACTTCTAACCTGGTGTCTTCATGGAAATGGTGACTGTAACTTACGTCTGACAGGTTGCTCTCCATGTTGGGAGAAGAATCGCTCCATGAAGCTGTCTTCTGTGGCGCCAGGGAAGATGGCCTCCTCGTCCAGTATCCATAGCAACCCTTTCTTCTCAGCATCCCGTAGGTCCTGGGTGGAAGTGCGTACCTGGGAACATAAAATTTAACTGCTACACAAATACACCAACACTTATCACCAGTTAGGATGAGGGGATTCTACTTTGGAATTGATTACCGCTTAAAACTTAAGTCAGAAGTAACATAAAGCTTTACCATCTTAGTTTGTAAGTGAGTGAGTGAGTATGGTTTTACGCCACTTTTAGCAATATTCCAGCAATATCACGTCGGGGGACACCAGAAATGGGCTTCACACATTGTACCCATGTCGGGAATCGAACCCGGGTCTTCGGCGTGACGAGCGAACGCTTTAACCACTAGGCTACCCGACCTTCTAGTTTGTAAATAATGGAGTCAGCATCAGAAAAAAACGGTGGCTGATGGCAGGAACAACAATCCACTTCACTGAGATACAACCACACCATAAACCAAGCTAAATTTGTCATCAGATCCCAAACCTGATTCAGCTTTTATTAAGAAAAAGGGCTGCAGGGGACTACACATTTTATCACAGAATCTTAAAATTCCCCACATAATTCACATTTTATAACTATCAAAGCAACAAGTGACTCTGCAAAAGCACTCCCTTCCCCAATCAAAAACACCAAACACTTCCGTCTCCCCAAACTGTATCAGCCCATGTTCCAAGGGACATAACTCCTTAACAGCTTGATAACTTCCAAAGTCATGTGACAATTCCTTCAAGTCTTACCGTGCCCTGCTGTGGAGCTTTGTCTATGAGTGACACGAGTGCTGCTGGGCTGTTGGTCACAAACTCAAAGTCGCAGTCAATGTTTTCCTGAAAACATATGGAGGATAATTACTTGATGATCATAGGTATAAGATGACATATCTACGGTATTCGCTGAAATTAGGGTTGTTTTGTTTGTTGTGTAACGCCGCACTTAGCAATATTCCAGCCTTATGACAGCGGTCTGTAAATAATCAAGTCTGTACAAGACAATCAAGTGAATGATATCATGAGCATTGATCCACTCAATTGGGATACAATGACATGCATCAACCAAGTCAGCGAACCTGACCACCCGATCCCATTAGTCGCCTCTTATGACAAGCATAGTCGCCTTTTAAGGCAAGCATGGGTTGCTGAAGACCTATTCTACCCCGGAATCTTCACGGGTTTCATCTCTTAGGACCAGCATAGATTGCCGGGGATCAATTCTCACCTGCTTGTGCCAAACTTGCATCCCTACAGTTCTAACAAGACATCAATTTCAACCAATTTGACCTCACAGCCTACAAGCCAATTCAACTTGTTAAGGCATACCTTCTGGGTACACATGTAACCTTGACCTTGACCTTGACCTGCCGTGACCCACCTGTGCGTATCTGTCCTGCTGCTGGGTGAAGGACAGGTCGTGGAAGAACAGCTGCAGCCTCTCCTGGGCGTAGTTGTTGCAGAGGTCCTCGAACGATGCCCCACTCTGCCGCCCACAGGTCAACGGGTTCTGGAAGCCTGGTGCATCCACCACTGTGATGGAGAACTGTGTCCGTACGTTGGAAGACAGAGATCTGGGAATATAGGAGAGCGTTCAGTTTTTTCGGATTCTCACACGGAATCCCATTGGGGAGTTAAACCAGAAGAATGGATGAAACTGCATGAGATTTGCTTGAGAAACAGTGCATTGAAGCTATACAGAAGGTAGTACTTAATTCCATAAGCCAACTCTGTTTTCATTGATACTACAGCATGTAAACTGATACTTAAAGACATAGAAGAAAAGAACACACTGCCAATTCCTTCCCTTTACCCATGGGGGCACAGGTGGCCCAGTCGTCTAAGGCACTGCGATTTGCTGTGCAGAGTTGCGTCCCTTGGGCACGCCAGAAACCTATGGTTGTGGGTTCGAATCCCAAATCACACTGATTATGTTTCTAGGTTCCTCAGCACCATACCCCTGATCGTGGGATTCACCGAAGGGGTCAACGTCTGAGACCTGCATCACTTCCTCATTAAGCTGACATGCTGCGATTAACTGCAATACTGTTAAAAGCGGCTTTAAACCCAACTCACTCACTCACTCACTTCCCTTACCTGTTGATGAGAGACACCACAGCGTTGAAGACATCAGAGTACAGTCCTACAACAAAGGCCTCTAGATGTTCCAAAGGTGAAGCTCCAGAGTCCGAACTCAGGTTACCCGACTTTTCAGACCCTGGTCCAACCCTGCAATACCAGACAATTTGAGAGATTCTAATCCAAGTCAACAGAGACATTTACAAAACATATTTTTTTTTTGTGGAAATGAACAAGTATAGGCCCATCGGCTCACACAGTGTGCTCTTATTTTGCAAGGCATCAAGTCATCAGAGTTGTCTCCCCTACCTCATACATTTTGTTCAAGTGGGAAATACATAAATATACATTGATTAATGTCTGTTCATATGGAAGTAGCATGAAGTAAAACTCAAATTTGGCCTACCGTATTCAACGTAATTAGCACCCAGGGCACTCTCAAAATTAGAAATAGGGGGCTCTTATTAGAATATAATTTTGGTGAGAAACAAAAACAGAGTTGAAAGATTGTAAATTTCGTGGTTTATGCTGTCAGACTGAAATGATACAAAAGAAAAGTCTGTGCGTAATTGAGCGACAGATATATTTTCCAGAATTTAATTGCCAATAATTAAGGGTGCATATAACACACGAGTACGTATTATACATGAATAAATAAGTTGTGTGTACATTGATCAATCGGAAGGGGTTCTTTTTGGGACTGTTCACGAGCCAATATATTAGCAAATATCCCCATGGGCGCTTATTAAAGCAGGGCGCTTATTATATCGAATATGGTAATCATAATTTCTTTCAGCAGGATTAGTTACTGTTTTCCACTCATAAGTATACTCACTATTAATTGTAAGACGTTCTAAATCAAAGGCCTAATGGAAGCAACACATAAACTTCAAAGCTCCTTCCCAGCGAGTGACAACTTTGTAACACTCTCGGTAACATCACTACTGCCACCAGTGTGGGCGCGGCCATTACAAGAATCTTAAAATTTGCCCTCTAACCCCAAATGTAGTAACATTTATACTTTTGTTTAAGTCTTTGGTAATGCCAATACAGTTATTTTTTAAAAGGTTTATGACTGACCATATTTCACAGGTTCAAAATTGCAGATGAACAGAGAAAATCACTCGAATCCCTCCTTACATACTTTCTATACCAATAAAATGAAAGTTAAAATGAAATAGAAAGTCAAATTGACAAACAAAGAAAATAATTTAGTTAGGGAAAGAGTATTCGGCGTCACGGCCGTCATCGCTTGTTTGTAAGCATAACGGTCCGATGGTTGCGAGTTCAACTCCAAGCATGGTTGTGACCACATATCACAGTAGGGAGTTTTGACTAATGGCAGTGATAGTATAGAGAGCTCCGCGAACGGGCTATCGCTGTGAGGAGCTTGATGAACTTCCTGGAGTTGTCTGCCCTTACCTCATGGAGGTGCTGCGTGTGAGAGTGGAGGTGCCGGACATGGTGAAGATGGACCTGGCCAGTTCCTCCACCGTGGTCCCCAGCAGGGAGGCTGCCTTCTGTGCTGCGGCCGGCTTGTTGAACTGAGACTTGTTGTTGCTTCCTGAAATGAGGAACACATTCAGCAATGGCTTCTCAATGAGAAATTTGGTAAAACGGAAATCTTGTTTTATCCTTTGTTTACAATGGGTTTAGTTTCACGTGCAGCGAAGCCCTATGGATAACTAGTGATACGGTCATTCTGAAGTGTTTGTTTGTTTGTTTATTGTTTAATGCAGCACTCAGCAATATTCCAGCTATATGATGGTGGTCTGTCAATAATCAAGCCTGGACCCGACAACCCAGTGATTGATATCATGAGCATCGATCCGTGCAATAGGGATACCTTGACATGTATCTACCAAGTCAGCAAGCCTGGCTATCCGATCCTGCTAGTTGCCTCTTACGACAAGCATGGGTTGCTGAAGATAATTCTAACCAGGATCTTCACGGCTCCATTCTGAGGCGTAAAGATATACTCCTCACTGTAGCAGTTGTCCAAGCGTAGCTTTATAATTATACAAAAGAATCCTTAAATCACACTGAAAGGCTTTTAGAATCAGCGCAATTGTTAACAATCACTAGAAAAATCTGTTCTGGTCACGTGATATGCAGTCTGTCGCTAGTGTAAGACATTTTCGTCACATCGCAGAGTGTGTCCCGGTCATCTCACCTTTTGTCGCTCCTGCCACTCCTAGATGGAAAATGGCCGCCAGCACGGAGAAGATGGCTTTGGACTCATCGTCTGAGACCCCAATGGTCTGGAGGGCGTGGATGACTTTCCCCCACTGAAGGCTAGCCTTCTGCCGGTCATCGGGCTGGAGAGAGAAAAAAATAAAAACACTGCAGAAATATCTAAATTAATACAAACAGGTTGATAGCAACAACCACTTGTTAGACTGTCAACATGGAAAAGATGGAACGTATGTACCTCGATATGTACCGTATCATGACACAAGTGTCGCCATATTTATCGATATACTAGGAAGGCGTATCGTGTCAGGGTCAAGTAATTTAAAGTCAATCATTTAAAATTAGATATCAGCCAATCCTGACCAGTGACCATTCGCCACACATCCTGTTTTGAAGCAATGATGGCAAATGTGAAAACAAGGCAGCATGACCCCTGTATATCACATGGTGGAAATACATTATCATCTTGTCTCTGTACTCAGGTAATATAAAATTATTCAAATACATACCCTTAAAAGACATGTAGACATCTGAAAATTTACAAATGTTTATCTGTCCAAGGGCATGCTCGTATTTCAAACCCTTGTAAATTTTGAAATCTAAGACCCTACCAAAACAACCAAAAGAAATGCATGTGAAACGCTCTATGATGAAGTAGTCATCACTCCTTACCTTCTGAAGTGGTGTCATGAATAGGTTGTGTTCATTCAACACTTGAAGCTGAAGTTCATTCCTGAAAAGAGAACAATCATGATGGATAGTAGTCCATATTCCGGGCTGCAAGATATCCTGTGATTGCAGATGTCATAATCACGTGACACAGAACACAGGATAAGTGACACAGGACACAGGACACAGGACTCGTGACACAGGACTCGTGACACAGGACACATGATACAGGACACGTGACACAGGACACAGGACACAGGGCACAGGACACATGACACAGGACTTGTGACAAAGGACTCGTGACACAGGACTCGTGACACAGGACACATGATACAGGACACGTGACACAGGACACAGGACACAGGACAAAGGACAAGTGACACAGGACACGTGACCTGGCTAGAAACATTGCCACATGTCTGCACACCGCTCTGTCTGCACAATGACCTGTGAGTAACCGGCTGGTAATCGGGGATGAAGACTTCATGGGTTTATGGGGATGTCAGCATGACATGGAACTGGAGGTTTGTTTGTTTGTTTGCTGCTTGATGCCGCACTCAGCAATATTCCAGCTATATGACAGCGGGCTGTAAATAATGAAATCTGGACCAGAATATCCAGTGATTGACATCATGAGCATCGATCCACGCAATTGGGATACGATGACATGCATCAACCAAGTCAGCGAGCCTGACCACTCGCCCATTAGTCGCAACTTCCGACAAGCATAGTCGCCTTTTACGGCAAGCATGGGTTCAGTGGGATCTTCATGGGTACAGTGGGAAATGGAACCCAGGTCTCGAGTGAGGAATGAAAGCCTCAACCACTAAGCAATCCCCCTAATGAACCAGGAAGAGATGACAATATACACCCACCTCAGCTGTGCTTCCACCCCAGCCAACATGTAGTAGAACACGTGGAAGGTTGGTTCCCCCTCTGGACGACGCACAATGCGGTTCTTCTCAAACATCAGCACCTGAACACACAGACATGATAAATACCTTGATAAATGGTGAGTGAGTTGGGATAATGCCTCTTCGAATAGTATTTTTGTTTTATCACAGTGTGTCAGGCAGTGTTTGAAATAAAGTAAATCACTAGGCTGCCATCAGGACCCACAGACTCCCCAGGGAGATGAGAATGAAAATCGAGTATGCGCTGATCCGTTGACCGAGTTAATAGTGTAGCACTTTGTGCATGCATTAGGATGTAGATTTGGTGCACTTTGGATATACACATTATTTTTATTATCAAACTTCATGATGAATATTAATGAGAATGAACAATTAACCTAATTTCATAGATATCCACATGAAAAGGCCACCAGACAATAGACTCCATTTTTGTGTCCAGAATCAGTCTATCCTTAGGTCAAAATATATACAACTCAAAAGAAGTAAAAGAACACCCACTTTTTCAAATGACTATAGTTATTCTGACCATGACTGGATTAACTATAGTCATATGAAAAAATTGTCTCTTCTTAACTTCTTGTGTTGTTTACATCAACAGCGAAGAATGTATTTTGTATTTTGAAATTGGTACGAAGCTAAAAGACTCAATATCCCAGGGTTAGAAACTAACAGTTTTTGTCCACTAGTCCTTATAATGATAACAAATGGGCCAATTTCTACTAGTCCTTAGGATACCTTTACTATTGGGCCGTTTGGTAAGGACTACAGGACTAGTGCCAATTTCAAATGCTGATATCCATTAGGTTGTAAGCTGACCACACAACAATCACTGTCCAGCTAAAGGGGCGTAACAATGCCCTTGACCGTCACCCAACTGGACACTATCTCCTACCTGTATTGATGCGGAGTTGATCTGGCCGGAGTGGTCGAAGTCCAGCGTAGTGATCTGTGTGTAGCGACTGGCGTTAGTGTTGAGCAGAGTGCGACTGTTGCCGAAAGATTCCATGAGTGACATAATGGCGGTCAACTTGTCCACTACAAACAGATGGTATATATTTAAATGTTAGAGATCCAACGTAATCTTGTCAACTTGTCACTCCATTAACTCAACATGAAGTATGTAAGCATAGCTCGGATACTATACTATAGTCGTTCTTGTTTTATTTAACGCCGCACTCAACATGACTGCGGCTGGTAAATAATTAAATTTTCTTATTGTTCATTGTAATTCCTGCATTCTGATTAGCTGAACTGGTCACGCGTTATTGCATTCATTTTCAAATGAATGTAAAAAATTAAGACATGCCCACCGAAGCGAACTACTTTTATTACTACAGAATGTCTGGGAATCCCAATATTACGAGAGAGAGAATACCCTTTCTGCTCACATTTAGCAAAATTCATGCATATTCATTGTCCAAATGACCTTTTGAGACTGAGGGTCGAGGAGGAAGGGAACAGCAGACGTGCAGGCCCGCTCACCTGGTTTTTTTCCGCTCGAAGGGTTCCACAAATTTTGTGTTTCATTTCTAACCTGCATTTTTCCAACTGTGTCTTCCCGTTCTCAGGGAACACAGTGTTTGAATCTGGCGGTAACTACGTGGATTCATACAGTTTGCACATCAGTTTTCAATTCATACTTAAATGAACCGAAAAAAAATTCCAGTCAATCCTAAAATAATCAACTCTGCACGAGACAATGAAGTGATTGATGTTGTGAACAATGCTCGAAGCTGTCAGGGTACGGAGACAGACTATCAACCAAGTCACCAAGTCTGACCACCCAATCCTCTAAATCGCCTCTTAAGGCCAGCACAGTTTGCTGTGGACCAATTCAAACCCAGAATCCACACAAGAGCATGGCAATGTGATGTTGTTTGTTTGTTTGTTTGTTGTTTAACGCCGCACTCAGACAATCCAGCGATTGACATCATGAGCATCGATCAATGCAATTGGGATCGATGACATGCATCAACCAAGTCAGCGAGCCTGACCACCCAATCCCGTAAGTCGCCTTTTACAACAAGCACAGTCACATTTCACAGCAAAGCATGAGTTGCTTAAGATCTTTTCTACCCCGAATGAGATAGTATTAAACCAACTTCAAGGCTTGATAATTATATTTTACGGCAAGTATGGGTTGCTGAAGACCAATTCTATCCCGGAATCTTCATGGGTCTGGCAATGTGAAAGAAATGCAACAGGCTGTAATAATCTTAGCACTAAGATCCTTGGGCAACAGGCCTGAAAACAAAACTCACCATTCAGGATGTTGTAGATGCTGAACACAAAACTCACCATTCAGGATGTTGTAGATGCTGCCGGCTGACAAGGTGAGATAATGAAGGATATGTTTGGCGTTGATAGTTTTCCCGCCGCCACTGCGGCCCATGGTGATAATGGACTGGTCCCTGCGCGAACTCAACATCTCCCGATAGGCGATCTGGGCCATGGAGAACACATGAGGGGGCATGTCCTCCTGCTTGCACCCCTTGAACATCTGGACCACCTGCAGGATGAACAACATATATATTGTGAGTAAGCCCAGATTTTTAAAAATATTTTTGTTACAAATCTCCCAAAAAAATTGCCGAAAATTAAAATTTGAAAAGAAGAAGAAGAAAAAGCAGTGTGTTTTTTCCACCAACCAGAAATAAGTAAATTGGTTTTTTAAAAAACTCATTTACAATCGCTATCAATAAATATACATTATTTAAACAACTATAATTAAAAACGGTGGAATATATACAGGGTTAGAAACTAACAGTTTTTGTCCACTAGTCCTTTTAATGATAACATATAGCAAAACCCTTAAAATGGGCCAATTTCTACTAGTCCTTAGGATACCTTTACTATTGGGCAGTTTGGTAAGGACTACAGGACTAGTGCCAATTTCTAACGCTGATATATCTTTAAAAAAGTTACAAACACAACGGATGTCGACAAATCAAGAGAGGAAATGAAAAAAATAGTTGAAATCGAAATGAAATTATTATTTCAAAATTTGACCCGAAAGTTTAGGCCAAAACTCAGAACACCCCCAACCCACCCCTCACCCCCACCCCCAGCCCCACTAACAAAACAGTCTGACCTAAGTATACATTGTTTCATACTTCTGTCGCCTATATTCCAGCTATATCACAGAAGCATGCACAGTGCTCAAATGTAAGGATAGTTGGGGTCCTTTTGAGGTTTGCTTGTATGGCATTTGAATCTTGGGACTAGGTCGCTGGAGACCAAATGTAACCCGGAATCCCCACAGGGGTCCCCAGTAAGTACGGGACACTGCGGCACCGATGGTGTTGTGACCAACCTTGTCTGAATACAGAGGCAGCTGCTGCATGGGGTTCAGGATGATGAGGGAGGGGCCGCCGTAGGTGTGGATGAGGTTCCCAGCATATCTCTGTCTCAGCGTGTGCAGGGCACTCGACTCGTTCAGGTAACGCAGCGACGCCAGGTCTTCAGCGCGGTCAAACTGAGGAGGGTTTGCCTGAAACCAACAAATTCTTACAAATTATTCTCTAAAGAAAACGACATGTGATTACAAAATCGTGTTGGACGAAAAGCTGTCAGTATGAAACTGAAAATCAGGCCTTCGAATAAAACACTGTTTTTCATTTGTTTCGCATGATATCCAAGGAACATTATTTGAAGCTTTATTTGTTTTCAATACTTTAAAAATATTACCAAAAAGCTATTGCTTTTGTTCATCATGAGGCCAAAACAGAAAATGTTTCAAGAGAAGATAGGGCCATGACCAGTAGATCCAAACACACAGACTTGTTGCAACTTAGACCACAGGGCCACCCTATCCCTGTCATCACAAACAAGTCTTCAACTTACCTTTTCAACATCGTCCTCATCCACTTCCAACACATCTCCCGAACTTTCAACCTTGACCTTGACCTTTCCTTCAGGAAGTGACCCTGGGTCTGCTTTGAGGAGGTGTGAGGCTGCAAATCCCCCCTTGTGGACGAGCCAGACCTTCTCTGTGTCCATCCAGGCCTTCTCAGTGTTGACTTCATCCTCAGATTTGGCCTGCAACAAGACACACAGGAGTCAAACTCAGGACTAGGGAGCACCTGGAGCACTACTGAGACACAAACACCCCATACAAGGTGCAAATGTGGGAACAGTTATCATTTGTTTTGTTTGTCTGCTTGTTTTCAACGATAACTCTGCAATATTCAACCTGTAAACAATCAAGTGTTGACCAGACAATCCAGCAGTCAATGACATCTTGCACATCGATCTACGCAATTTGGACATGGGGACATGCTTCAACAAAGTAAGCAATCTTACAACAAGCATGGGTTGCTGAAGACCAATACTTTCACAGTTGTTGCAGAAACAGAGAAACAGAAGCAAGAAAACAAGGTGAACAACAATCAGTGTTCGAAATAATTTCCTGACCAACTGCCCGTGGCTGGTAACTTTTCTGTTCGGGTTGCATGAAATTTTCCCTCATCTGCCCAACTGTCTGACAGATAATTTTAAGACCACTTACGTATTCAGTTTAATAATAAACTTTTCAAGATTCTCAAGTAATTGTTTATATTATTCTACAGAATCAAGATGAGATAAGTTTATTTTTCTTATTTTTTGTGACATTAAAGTACCGTATTCGACGTAATAAGCGCGCAGGGTGCTCTCAAAATTAGAAATAGGGGGCTCTTATTAGAATATTACTTTGGTGAAAAAAAAACAGAGTTGAAAGATAATTTTCATGGTTTATGCTGACAGCCTGAAATGTTTATGTACGACAGATATATTTTTCCAGAATTTAATTGCCCATAATTAAGGGTGCATATAGCACACGAGTGCGTATTATACACGAATAAATAAGTCTTGTGTACATTGATCAATCGGAAGGGGTGCCAATTGTTCGATAGCCAATATATTAGCAAATATCGCCGTGGGTGCTTATTAGAGCGGGGCGCTTATTACGTCGAATACGGTATTTATAATGTCTGAATGAGGGCAGGTAACTTTGAAGATGGGCAGGCAACATTTATCCAATGCTGTTCGCACTCATCAAACACAAGGGCGGTATTTACTGAACCATGCAAGGATTTTTTGGTTTGGTTTGTTGTTTAACGCCACACTCAGCGATATTCCAGCTATATGACGGCGGTCTGTAAATAATCGAGTCTGGACCAGACAATCCAGTGATTAATATCATGAGCATCGATCCACGCAATTGGGATCGATGACATGCATCAACCAAGTCAGCAAGCCTGACCACCCGATCCCGTTAGTCGCCTTTTACGACAAGCATAGTCGCCTTTTACGGCAAGCATGGGCTGCTGAAGACCTATTCTACCCTGGAATCTTCATGGGTCGAACCATGCAAGGAGCCTGGGTCAGATGCCCGAGAAGAGGATGCATATTTATCACAACCATCAGCAAAAGCCTATTTCCAACTCACTAAGCCTTTATCAAGTAGTAACAAGATAACTGATACTCCAGCCCAAACTGACACTCCATGCAACAAGACAGAGACTGCCATGCAAACATTAACCAAGCAGGGACTCCATGTCCTGCAGACAAATCTACCATGAGGTCACCATGACCTTACTCACAACTGAAGGTTACCTGAAGTGACATGGGAAGTCTTCAACAAGCTAACACAAGTACCATGGACACCTCCTTGGAAGATCCAGATCAGCCTTTATCTCGGAAGGAAATCAACGCCCCCATCAACAATCATCTCCATGAAACAGACCACCCATCTACACTATAGATAGTGACACTGATGCTGGGCCAAGTACTAACTGTGGAAAATCAATTCTTTCCCCCTGTATGATGACATAGGCCCATCAATGGAGCAATGGGGGAAAACATGAAAGTGAGTGAGTTGGATTTAACGCCGCTTTTAACAGTATTCCAGTAACATCACGGCGTGTCAGCTTAATGTGGGAGTGAGTGAGGGAGTGAGTGAGTTGGGTTTAACGCCGCTTTTAACAGTATTCCAGTTATATCACGGTGTGTCAGCTTAATGTGGGAGGAAAGCCTGAAGTGATGCAGGTCTCAGACGTTTACTACTTCGGGGAAACCCACGAGCACGGGTATGGTGCTGACAAACCTCGAAACATAGTCGGGGCGAACCGGGATTCGAACCCACAATCATAGGTTTCTGGCATGCCAAAGGGATGCAACTCTGCACAGCGAATCTCGGCGCCTTAGACGACTGGGCCATCATGAAAGTAAAATATTGTGACATGATAGACCGTCTGTGTCATGAAAGGTATGGCAATTGACACTTTAAAGGAATGTATGATCTGAGGAAGTGAGAGAAGTTTAAGTTTAATGCCACAGTCAGCAAATTACTGCTCAATCATGGCATCCTATGAATAATTGAGACAGGGCAAGTCAACCCTGAGTGCATGATAGGGGTGACTTTTGGGGCTTTTTTCACTATAGTCTGGAAGGTAATTTAAGGTACCGACGTTTACTACAATATCTGAAAACTATCGGACCTACTCCAGTCAAAGTTGGTATGAGATTATTTAACAGTCATACATAACTGGATATTACATTTAAAGACAATTGGTGCATGAATAAAAAATCTGTCTATTTAGCTATCACTATATTTCATCAACAACCAGACCTGTTCGTCACGGGTGGAACGAATATTCATTGTAACAGCCATCTGCATAATGCTACCCCTGCGTCACAGGGCCATATGACACAGTTGAACCAATCAACTCAACTCGAAAGGGTGCATGGGAATCCCGCACGTTGTGACGCCGAACGCCAACACCTTATTCGTGCGTGCGTGATTCCCGTGCACCCTTTCGAGTTGAGTTGATTGGTTCAACTGTGTCATAAACGTCGGTACCTTAAATTACCTTCCAGACTATATGTGATTTTACTCTGATAGCATTGCGATAGTATTATTTGTGTTGTTTGTTGGTTTGTTGTTTAACGCTGCGTTCAGCAATATTCCAGCTATAAGACAGCGGTGTGTAAATAATCAAGTCTTGACCAGACGATCCAGTGATTGACATCATGAGCATCGATCCACGCATTTGGGATACCATCACATGCATCAACCAAGTCAGCGAGCCTGACCACCTGATCCCGTTAGTCGCCTCTCACAACAAGCATAGTCGCATTTTACAGCAAGCATGAGTTGCTGAAGACCTTTTCTACCCCGAATGAGATAGTATTAAACCAACTTCATGGCTTGATAATTATATTAAACAATATAATAGAAACGAATAAAGTATTGCCGACAATGTCAAAGTCGGCCATTCCCCTCTACTTGAACCAAAGGGAGGTAACTCATCTGAAGTTGTAATCCTTGTTAATCACCACAAGACAGGATTGAAACCTGACTGTAAACACTGAACTTTCCAACACATAATTTATGTTTTATCTATAACAAATAATGACTATTAAAGCTATAGATTGTTAAGCACATTATCGACAACAGGTTTTCATAATTCCACCTGATATAGTACAATCGCAGGGCAAACAATTGCAATACACTGATAGTCGGATATCCATCGTTACTCTCCTAGTGGTTGATGTCATGATGAACAATCAACACTATCTGGACCCCAACACACACAATCAGCCAGGTCACACACTGTCCCATTTCAGTCAACTGTAAAATCAACTGACAAAATTTAATCAAATAGTTTCAAAATATATTTTCTTCAATTTTGTCGAAATACCATGAAAAGTTGACTTGACTTAACAGCTGTCACGGGGCTTACATAAATTTTTTAATTTTTTAAAAGAACGATGTATGACATTTGCGGGCTGCTACAAATAATGTTACTTTCTCTCATAGTGAGTTAGGGGCGGTGGGGTAGCCTAGTGGTTAAAATGTTTGTTTGTCACGCCAAAAATCTGAGTTCGATTCCCACATGGGTACAATGTGTGAAGCCCCTTTCTGGTGTTACCATCGTGATATAGCTGGATTATTGCTAAAAGTGGTGTAAAACGATTATACTCACTCACTCACTCACTCATATTGAGCTCACACTAAATGTTCATCTTGTCATTCCAGCCACACAACGCCTACAGAACAATACCATGGATGCAATATAACCTGAAAAGTTTACAAACTTAAATAGTGCTATCACATATTTACAACAACATACCTAAAAACCTGACATCCTCAACTGACCCTTATCCTAGCAAAAACATTAGACATAAACTGACTCCTAGGAGCTCGTGTCAATTTCCAACCTCTGAAAGCTCACAAATATTTAGACCAGCATCGGTCACATTTCCAAGACATGAATATTCATAAACGATTGAAACCAAATACACTCAGAGTCAATACACAAGGAACAATACATACATAAAAACTTCAAGAAACACCATGATGTGAAACAGACACAAAATCAACACGAATCATAAATACCCAGACAACCATCCTAAACAGCCAAGAAATGAACGGAAGTGACGGCTGTCGCTCCAACCCCTCCGACTGGACACAAAGTCTGATTATGAAAATCAATTGTTGAAATAATGGGGGTTTGACACTGAGGGAGTGCAGCTGCCCTAACATCCAGCACCATCAACACACCCTCTGCCCGGCAACACACATAACTGGCCATGCTGATTAATTACACAAATTATTCAACTGGGACTTTCATGGAATTTCAAAATAGCCTCAAAATGAAATTAACTTCAAAACCTCACACTGAGAACTGCGTTTTTAGACCACACTTTTATATTTTATAATCTTCAGATATACTGAACATAAAAAGTTAGGGATCATGAATATTTGGGGGATATTTTTGTGTAGTAAAGAAAAAGCTCACAATTTCATAAAAATATTCCAAAAAATATTCATGAAAAAGATAGGGATCATGAATATTTTGGGGGATATTTTTGTGTAATGAAGACTAAGCACACTATTTCATTAAAAAAAATTCCAAAAAATATTCATGATACTAACAATTGGACCTGGCAAAATAAAAGAAATTATATATATTCAGAACTTAGCGTTTAAAATCAAGGCTGCAATGGCATTAGACATCACAGCATTTGATCAATGGTTATAAAAAAATTTATAG